CCACTGGGGAGGCCACATCTCAAACATCACGTTGAGGGCCATGGTTTAGTGGTGACCTGGAAGTGCTGGGTCAACAGCCAGACTCCATCATCTTCAAGGTCTCCTCCACGACCCAACGTTGCTCAGAGCAATTTCTTTTCAAAGCCACTCAGAAAAAACATTCCCCAAATCCCTTGTGAACAGGAACTGAGCGTTTTCCTTCCAGCATCTCCCCCTCCAGACACAAAAGAAGACTGGGAGGGGGTGAAGATGAGCTCCGTGGAACCCTCAAGCTGAGGAACAGATGTGACCTCGTGGCAAGTCAAGAGTTCATGGGGGTGGAGACGGGAGCTGCACAAAGGGTAAATTGATTCCATCCCTGCCTCCTCCCTTGGCTTCTGCAGACAGGGAAACACGTTTCATCTCCAGCTTCAGGAAATAGACTTCAATATCCCTCTGTCTCGGGGTGGGGTGGGGGGTAAGAGGTTATTATGGGATGCCCCAGGCGGAGACGTTGCCGCCGAGAGCGTCTCCAAACCCAGGGCCACAAAAGGTCTGGCCGAGCAGAGATGATTTCTATTGTGTGGGGAGAGGTTCAGATGGGTGGAATGAGGCTCTGAAAGACCCCTAGGTAACAAAAAAAAGCCACTCTGGGATGGCACTGGGCTGTTTAAGAGGATGGAGATCTCCACGCCTGCTCTTCGTGCACCAGTGCAAAGCAGAGGCATCCAAGAGCATTTTAAGATCCACTGGAGCACTCAAAAATTCCTCATTGACCTTCTTGACTCCCTTAGAGAACCTCTGTTTGCTGTGCACACCAATCTTACCTGCTCCCCACAGCTTTCCCTCCACCACTGGTGGACTCTTTACCTCAAGAAAGGGTTTTTACCCCCCAAGAAACTCTACAGAGCTCCAGCAGTGCCCACTCTTGTCCTGGCCAAAACACCTTCTCCACTCATTTCTTCCATGCAGTGATCTCAGTGGGCTTCACCAGCTCTCGCCTCATCCTCCAGGATGGGTCAAAACAGTCTCAAACCTAACAAGCCAGGGCAACGCTTGGTGACTTCTCCAGAAAAGACCTGAAATCTCAATATTATCCTGGGAATATTTACTTCTAATAGATTATTTGATTTTTTTTTAGGGAAGTAGAAAAGGAAAAGAACAAAATCCTTGCTCAGAAAAAGTAGGAGACCCAGGAAGTAGGGAATGGAAAAAAAATGTTATATTTTCATGGACTTCATCTTGCTGAAAATTTGATTTCCCATATCTGAGGTCCACTAAGTGGTGCCCCCTTTGAAAAAGGTCTGGGATTAACATTGGTATTGTCATTTAAAAGAAATCCTGGAGCTCCTAATTAATACCCTGGAGACCACAGATGCTCCATCTAGTCCACAGATCTCCAGGTTGAGTGCTCCACAGTAAACCATGGATTTGTTGAAATTCCTGAAGTCACTGGAAGCTTGAGACCTTGAAGAGCAATTAAGTGGGACCTTGAGGAAACCTCCAGCAGCTGCACAAGGTCTTGGGTTTGGAGCAAACACAAGAAAGGCTGATCCAGAAGGGCCACTTCTCCACTTGTCCTGAGGAACCCACTCATCCTGCACACACTGTTGGCTCCCCAGAGGTTTTAACTTTCAATATCTCATAGAGCCATCCTGGGGCCTTCTCATGGATCATCTTTTCCTCTTGTCTTCCCTCCTGAGAAAGGAGGAGTTTGTGGACCTTCCATCATCCCTCACCTGCAATTCCTCTGGCCTCCTGGCTCTATAGTCAGGTAATTTTTGCTCTTCCACCCCAAAAAAAAACCCATAAATTGTGTGGCAACCAGAGAACAGCACAGCTTGGATGTTCACAGGGGACAACTTGGGTTAAGAAAGCCATGAAAACAAACGAGGTGTGGGCCATGAAGTTCTAGGAGTCCTGTCCAGCTCTGAAGTTTCTTGCCCCTGACCAAGCAGGATTAGAGCTGGTATCATTGTAGCAAGATCATTTTATGTTCAGAAGGTATCTGCCAAGTAAAGTTGTGTTCAGCCCTCATCATGGAGAGATGATAGTGCTGGAGAAGGTGCCCAGCCAACGCCTCCACCAAAGGAAGAGAAGGGAAGAGGCCAGAAGTCCCTTCCAACAAAGGCCAAAGACAAACAGAACCTCTTTGAGGGACATCAAAGCTTCTGCCAGCTCAAAGCTTATCTCTGCAGGGAACATCTACAATGATGTAATGGTGGTGTTACCTCCCCAGCACCTCTGCCAGTTCCAGAGCAACCATCTGGGGTGCTAAACAGGGCAATTATGTGGTTAGATCTCCTTGGATAAGCAAGTCCTCAGGGAATGGTCGTTTAGAGGTGATCACCAAGTGTCCTTTGCACTTTGTGCCCCCAGGAGACACAGGGAGAGGAAGCCAGGGCAGGTCTTGGGTGATGAAGCCCACCTAGAGCTGTCACTTGTGACCTCAGTGCCAAAACAAAGCCACCACCTCCCAGCCTTCCCAGCATTAAAATACTCCTTGGCTTTAGGAAGAGGTGGGTGCCAGGAAGTCCCAAGGGCAAAGCCATGAACAAAGAGACTCATTTCTGCTCTTTTGTTTCTGCTGGAAGAACAGGAGCTCAGTCCATGAGGGAAAAGCAAAACCTGAGTGTTTGAAGTGATCAGAGGATGCCTGGGAGCTGCCAGCACGGGGAGTTTAGTCACAGCTCCAATGGGTATGGGAGTAGAAGGTCCCAGCTACCTGCAGGGCTTGGCTGGATCTCAGGAGGTGCTCCACAGCCCACTTGCTGAAGCACAGATCAAGCTGTGTCACCTCCCTGAGCAGCTTTGGCCACCAAACGGTCGCCACCAAGCTCATCACCAATTAAACCAGCTGGAGAGTCCTCCTGGAGCAGCAGAAGCAGCTTGAGAAGCACCTTGCCCCACAATTCTCTCCTTTCTCAACTTAAGAAGACGTGGTTCTGCTCTTCTGTTGGACAACCCATGGGGGTCTCACTCATTGGACATCTCCAGTGCTGCCCTGTCCCCTCCTCACACCAACCAGTTGCTGAGGTTGGTTGCTCAGGGCAAATGGGGTCCCCTCAGAGTTCTGCTGGAGCCTGGCTCACCTTCACCACACCTCCTCCTATCCTGACAGCTCCCTCAGAAGCCACCCCAGATGCTCCTTCTACACACACACACATGCAGAAGTGGCAGTCAGAATAAATAAATAAATTTTAGAAGCTTTGGAGCTGAAGGAAAAGCCACAAAACAAGCCTGAGATATCCTGGTGGGACATCTGATCACCACCAGGGCCATGCTCCAGCAACCTTTGGCCATCATGAGTCATCCCATCTGCAAACTGGCCTCTCAGCCAGGTGGGGAACTCCTTTTTGGCAGGGCCAGGATTCTCAGGACATGCCAAAGGTTCTTCAGGGCTCTCTTAGGGTGGTGAGCTCCTACAACATCACCAAGTTGGTGACCAACCAACCAACTTTTCCAGCCCTAGCAGTCTGAACTCACCATGAGATTGAGGAAACCAGGAAACCTTCAACCCCAGCAAGGATGGTGAATGAAGACCCAAAGATCAGTCCTTGGGAGGGTCAAGCACAGGTGGTCAACTTTGGAGAGGTGGGAGATGCCTCATCCCTGGCACCATCCCAGGTGAGGTTGGATGGGGCTCTGAGCACCCTGCTCTAGTTGAAGATGTCTCTGCTCCCTGCAGGAGGATTGGACTAGATGATCTTGAAAGGTCCCTTTCCCACCCAAAACATTCAATGATTCCATGAGCTCCACCAGAGCTGGTCAAGCCCAAGCTGTGTTTGCTCTCCATTGATTCAAGACCCACTCCAGAACATCAACATTTGCTCTGGAGGAAAAAAACACCTTCACAGAGACCAGAAATAGCCAAAAATAATGATTTCTACAGGAAAATGCTTCTAGGAAGCGTTGACCCAAAACCTACTGCTGTCACCACCACAGGTACCCTTGATCCATGACCCCAACCCCTCATTGACCACACGGTCTCTAGGTAGAACCTCAACCCTGGAGGTTTCATCCAGTGTCCACACAACATCTCCCACTCCAAAAAGAAAGATTTGATAGGTGCTTATTGTCACCCCCTCTCAGGAGCACCAAAACTTCCTCACCCTGAGTTATTGTCCCCAAAAAAGGGACATTTCCAACTGGCCAGAAGTTGGAAAACTCATTGAAATATAAGTGGAGCATCAAGTTCTCAGCATCTATTTTAT